GCTTGGCGTGACGCCCAAGTCTTTGATGAATCGTCGGTAGAAGTTGAGGAACCCCAGGAAGCTTTGAACCTCTCGCAGGTTACGAGGTCGGGGCCATTCGCGCACGTCAGCGACCTTGATCAGGTCCATGCGGAGTTGCCCGTTCCCGACGATCACCACCGAGGTATTCGACTTCGTTCCGCTCGAAGTCACACTTGTCCGGTTTCAGGTACAGTTGGTTGTCCTTCAGGATCTGCAGGACCTCTTTCACCGTTGCGATGTTCGGAGAGGTCGCTAGAGTATATGAGGATGTCGTCCAGGTACCCGATCACGCGACCCTGGGAGATCAGGTTGGAAAACAATTCGTTCATCATGGATTGGAACGTGGCCGGGAATTGGTGAGGCCGAAAAACATCACGAGTGGTTCGAATAGGCCCCGATTGGTAACGAACGCGGCCTTCTCTTCGTCGCCTTCTTTTATGCGGATGTTGTTGTATCCCCAACGTCGTCGAGCTTGGTGAACCACCGGGCGTTACGTAACTTATGCATGATGTCCGATATGAGTGGTATCGGGTATCGGTTTTTGATAGTGATCTCGTTTAGCTTCCGGTAGTCCTGTACGGGCCGTAATTTCCCGTCCTTCTTCTTGACGAAGAAGAACGGGGATGCGTATGGGGATTTCGAGGGCCGAATCCGCCCGGTTGCCAAATGTTCCTTGATGAATGCGTCAAGCTCTTTCTGTTCTTCTCCTGATAGGGGAATACAGCGCCCTTTGACGGGTTCGGCGTCTGGGTGTAGTTCAATGGCATGGTCCCACTTCCTCCGTTCCGGGAGTTTGTCGAAGTCCTGTTTTTCAAAAACCTCTTTGAATTCCTCAAGATAGTGCGCGGGTACGCTCTCCTCGGTGGTTCGGGGCTTCTCAGAAGCGTAGGCGGCGGTGGCCAGTTTGGTGGCCACGCTCTGCATGGCCCGGATGTGGGCGGGCGCGTTCGAACCTTCGTCGTAGATCCGCATGACGAAGAGGCGATCCCCTTTGCCCAGGGGTTCGTTGTCCTCTTCGTCCCATTGTTCCAGCAATCGGGCCCGCTTGCACTCGGGCGGGCATCGGGTGAAGGCGATCGCTCCTTCACGCCAGTCGATCACGGGATTGTGCTTCTTGAGCCAGTGATGCCCGATGATCACGTCACTGTTCCCGGTGTCCGTGATGGCGAACGTCAGAAGTTCGGAGTGATCCTGAATGGTGACTCGTAAGCGGGTAACGTGGGTGATTGCCCCGTCAGCGTTGATCGTCCCGTCGGCATTGTACACTGGGACTGGGTGCGGTAGGGCTTCGAGGTCCAGTTGCGAGTCCTCCGCGAACCGCTTGTGCATGAACTCGGAGGTGGCGCCACTGTCGAGGAGGGCGTCAACCGAGTACCCGCGCGGAGGTCGTTGACCCCTTGAAGGGTGACGGCTACCCGCGTAGCCGTGGTGCCTTCACTTTTCCGAAAGGGGGGAGCATTTTGCAGTTGTCGCAAAGCTTCGGCTACGTCGGGGGCGTACCCCGTTCGTATGAACTCTTCTAGTTCGGGCCCGTTCTCGGCTCGTCGGGCCGGATGTATCCACTGTTGTAGTTTCGCACGAGCCTTCTCGGGCTGGTCTCGAATTTGCGCGACAAGCCTCTCGGCGCTGGCCGCGGGCCAACTTTTCCAAGCGGGCCTCGGAGTGTCTCGTATGGTTTTATGCGGGTTTTTTCTGCGGGCGGAAATGGTGGGTTGCGGGGTTTGTTGTTCGGGGTTGGTTTCTACGTCTGGTCCCACGTATCTCTGGATTGGCAACACGGAATATCGATTATGCGGGTTGTAACTAGAGACACTTGTGGTATACGTCGGCGAGGGCGTAGGCTTCACTCGCGACGATCGCCAAAATCCGCTTTATCCGCGTTATCTTTGACAAACTCGGAGAAGATAGCCCGGATCTGGTTTGCCGATGCGGCCCGGTTCGGGCACATCCGACTGATGTGTCCTTCCTGGCCGCAGTTGTAGCAGCGAGTGCTGCGGGCCGTAGCGGGGGCCTGGGCCCGGTCGATCTCCATAGGCGCGGGCCCCGTCGAGGGTCCGGCGACCGTGGTTGCCCCGTTTCCTCGGGGTGCGGCCACGGTCGGTCCGGTGGCGCTGATCGCTGCGTTTCGGGCCCACCCGTTGAACGGGTTGCGGTTGCTGAGCCCGCTCTTGGCGGGGGCGGGCGCCGTCGGGGGCGTTTTGGCCCGAGGGTGGTTAACCTTGTGGCTTTCGTCGAAAATGCGGTAGCGGCGGAGTGCGCCGTCTTGCTTGATGGCCTCTGCCTTCCAGGCCTCGTAGGTGTCAGGGAGCGTGTCCTTTCGGTAGACCGCGTTCGTAACGCCCCAGAGCATACAGTTCTTGGCGACGCGAATAAGGTTAACGTCGTCGTAGTGCGCGACTTTGTTGAGAGAGTCGAGGACCGTGAAATAACTAGTCGCGTCCATGTCTTTGGTCTGGACGAAGGTTTCCATCTTCTGCTGCGCGATTTCGGCGTGAGCTTCCCCGCGGAAGGCCGCGATGAAGGCTTTCTCGAAGCCTTCGTACGTAGTATAGGCTGCGGCGGTACGGAGCTTCATGGCTTGGGAGACATTTTCCTTCCACGTGACCGCGTTCCCGCCTTTGATATAGGAGAGTGTGTACGAAATCTTTCGCACCTCGTCGTTGTAAACATTCGGGTTGGCTTCGAAGGCCAACCAGCAATCGGCCAGGAAGGCGTCTACTTCGCTGGCGTCGCCCGTGAACTCCTTAGGGGGAGAGACGGTTACTCGTGTATTTCCCCCGTGGGGCCGATGAGCCAAGTCCTCTCTGGCTTGGCGGAGCAGATCATAGCTCTGCATGACTCCCTGCTGTACAGCTGCGTATTCCCCGTTTACTCGGGACAGCTCGGCCTCGAGGACCACTTGTCGATTCGTCAGGGCGGTGTTTTCCGCCTTGAGTTGCTCCATCTCCTGACTCGTTCGGAACAGATGGGCGAACAGGAACTCCTGTTGTTCGTATGGCCCAGGGCCATGAATCGGGCACGTTCATCCCCCTGGCTTGCGGGGGTGCCCATCGTACTGTCGTGCTCGGTAGACATTTGTCGCGCTTCTTGCGTTTGTGGGGGAGGCTAATATTCTGTCAGCGTCGGGCTCAGGCCGTATCGGGGCGTCGGGGGGTCCGACTTCGAAGGGGTCTGAGGAGCACGAGAGATGGGTATTCGCCCGGAGAATAGACGATATTAGCCTAGCGACTACATCTTGTAAGTACGACTTTTATACGCTACGGTATTAGGGATGGATCGGATGGGCGCCAGGTCCCAGGGCGGATCGGATGGGCGCTGCGTAGGGCTGCAGGGGTGAACGGAAGGGGTTGGAAGAATGAGGGGACGTCCAGGAGGACGGCGGTATACGGGCCCGTGCGGGCCCGTTCGGGCCCGTGCGGCCTTATGGCCCGGACGGCCCGACCCGAACCGTGACAATTCGAACCTTTGCTCACTGACAACGACAAGGGACTGAGTTAACAGGCCCTTTCGGCTTTGATCTACCCGCTCGCTTTACTTGCGGGCCCGACAATCCGTCTGTTCTGTTCCAGGTGCGCGTTCTCAGGAGAGACCTTGCACGGCCCAACCCGAAGCCTGACACCAGGTTTCATACAAGAACATTCAAATTTCACATGCTCAGCAATCAGTGCTGTGGATTTTCCGGAATTTGGGCCACGTGACACTACTGTAAAAGTCCAGCTTTTGGTGGCTTTTCTGTGCAAAACTCCAATGTAACAGGGATAATCATATTTTCATCATATCTGTTTAAACTAATGGAGTTATATACACACTAACTTGTTATTTGGCACAAATTTGGTCTACTTCAATGAGTTTTATTTTCCATTTATACATTGACCCATTTTTGTTATACTATGGCTCAAACTTGAAAATAGATCCTTCTTTGAGGACTATTTTTTATCCAAAACCCCAGTGTGAAGCATAAGGTGACATTAAACTAAGTGATCTTAATCAGCACATGCTGATTGACTTGTGACCGATAGTGACCCTTCTTCCGATAGTGACCCTTCTTAGTGTGTGACCGATAGTGACCCTTCTTGTCGTTGACCTCCACGACCCCATACGTTTTCGTGTCCATTCGCTGGCTGTCGAGATGGAGCCACCTATGCCACGAGAATATGCACCGGGGCGACTTCTTTTGCAGGCTTGCGCGACGCGAGCTTCATTACTGTCTGGCAGTCACCCCGTCTCATCGGTTTCTGCAGGCCAATTTAGGAGTCCCTACCGGCTTCCTCATGCCTCGGATATTTGTTCGTCACAGATGGGATGCGGATATGGCTTTCCCATTTTTCCAAAGGTGTGCGTCTGCCATTTGCGGGCCGAGATTTTCTCAAGAAGCATTTCATCTCGCCAGGATTCCCAGTCGCAGATTTACCCCCAAACTCATCAAGATTTCACGGCACACGCTGGACCTGTGAACGGTGCTGGCAGTCATATTCGGCGCCAAGGTGTTAAGTCCGCAAAGTGCGCTCTTCTTCTTTTTTTGCTTCATTCAAGGATCCACTACACGATGGAGTAGCTTTTGTCGTCTTCCGTAATGTGCGGAAAAGCTTGCCGGAAAGTTTCTCAAGAAGTGGATTCGCCTAACCCTTGACCGATTCCGTTATCACCAGCCGACGATCTTCCTATGGTATTCGACTGCAACGTGCGGAACATGCGCCGACTTTCCGCGGAAAGGAGATTCGTTTGACGGCCTCCAAGTCGATGTCTGGATGGACTACCCTTACCCGTGGGTGTTATTATCTTCCTGCGTGAATATTCTGAAATGTGCAGGCCGCAACGGACGGACGAAATAGCATGTGGGCTCAGAATCCATTCGCTTGGAAGCGGGTCGTGGCGCGATTGAAGGACAACGTGTACAACCTCGTTTCAAGCCAGCCGAGCACCACATACAGAGTGACTCTCCCTCCGCGCCAGATGGGCTAGAACTTCTTCGATGTCTCATGTCAAGGCGTTTAAAGACCGTGCCCCTGGTCTTTTGGTTCCCCCATTCGTGTCGCGCTCCCTCTGCTTCTGCTATGTTCGTCTCCCTCCGTCGCCGCAAACGCAAAACACCTCCCACGACTGTTGCTGAATCGACCTTCACTCACTCCTTGGAGTCGTGTGAAGAAGACTTGCGTGAGTATCATTGCCCTGTAATACTGGCTTTCACGACTCACAATCTTTCGATAGTTCTGGTGAAGCCTTCCAAAAGCTCCACTACCAACTGCGCAATGGCTGCAGTGGAAGAGAAAGTACATGCTCCTCGTCGTTCTCCTAAATTCTTAGACGAGCTTACTTCAAGTCCCAAATCCGAAGCACTTGGTAAGGGAGCTTGAATACCTTGAATCTTCCCCCCGCTAATAATTGTTGCACAGACCTACCGCGCAATGTCCCACCTGCTGACATGCGCCAACGCGATAACTCAGAACTTTGGGTCACGATGCACTCCGCACGACCTTCATATGCCAACAAAGATGGTTTGAGGGATACTGCGGGTGAGCCTCGCTTTCTTTCTGCTTTTACTTGCGGCTCTGATACAATCTAGATCAACGCACACAATCGGATGATAGCACGATGGGACTTGTAATCGAGGCCTCCAGTGACACGCTCTCTGGACAAGTCCAGGCTCTGGGACGCCATGCGTTGGAAGGAGTGCCGACCTTGCTGAGAACGCTTGAGGCGCTAGCAAGAGTTCATCCATTTGTCGAATGTGAGCCCTATTATTACTTTGCATCCAACTAAATCCTTCTCGATAGTGGCATTCATTCCTTTCAAACTCCTGTACCATCTGTTGAGCGAATTAGTTTCAGCTTGAAGATCAACTGACTGTCTCCAATCTCAAGGGAAACAAAACGTCGAGACAACGATCATCGACGCGCAGCTCTGTTCACGGTCATCAAAGATGCGATGCTCGCATTGGTCGAGTGAGTCGCCATCCCTTTCCATCATGTACCTTTCCTCATGGCTCTCGAAAGACTCGAATATTTTACCGAAGATTATACTGCATACCGAACTACGCCTGCTGGCCAGAAGATTAAGTCTCGCATTGTAGCCGTTTGCGAGCAGATGCAAAAAGACATCCATGGGTGCTATAATGGTGCGGGTTCAGATATTCTTTCGTACCATACCCTCATTCCGAGTCACGACAGAGCTCTCTGCGCATGACCGCTCAGCACCAGCCATTCATTTTGTTCGAGCTGTAGGCCGGAACAAAATTCTCGCGGATTACGGTGCGCGGTTCAAGGCGACCCGAGAAGACTTGGTGTTTGCTTTGCAGATTGAAAACGCTCTGGCTGTCAACAAAATGTGCGTAAATTCATAAATCTAGCGAAATCAGTCACTGAAAATCGAAATTTCTGGCCAGGCGTCATATGTATATGCCCATATCTTTCGTTTCACGACTGTACATCTAACATATCTCTCAGGTTGGAAGAGCAGCTCATTCCAAAAACAACCCCTTCGTCGTCCCCAGTCATCCCTGCTACCCGCACCGACTCGCGAGATCCGCCTGGTCGTCCCAGCTTACTCCGACTACCGACCTACCCACCTGATATTCTCAGCGCGCAAGACGAATGGAAGCTTAACAATATGATGGATCCGACATCCGCGCAAAGCATCAGCAACTCGGCTCAATTGTCTTCAGAGATCGAGTGTCTCTCCCAAATCGAGGTCAGACACCAGTTTTGGCTTCTTCTTCATCGGCAACTGATCGATCATGCAAGGACACGAGCTGGAAGGGTGTCCTCGCTTTACGGCAACAACTGCTTCTCGGTCAGAGTCGAGGGTTAAAATTCCACAACGACGTTGGTCGGGATAGACCCCCAGGACCCCCAGAGTCGACAACCACCACAAGTCGTGTATCGTCTGCCTTGCTTTCGATGCCACGTTCGCAGTCGTTCTCAACCTCCTCCGCGTTTCCTTCCCCGCAGCTTCCTCCTTACACTCGACTGCCTGTTACGCCTGGTCCGGGCGGGAGTCCTCGTACACCGCCGATGTATTGGGACTTCGAGCTTGAAGCAGGGGGCTATTTTGCCAACAGGCCTCCCCCACGTAACTTGTTGGACCCACGGCTGGGAACCATTGCGCCATGGGGCGAATCACCGAGTTCGACTGTTGTCGGGGACGGCAGTCCTTTTGTCGTCGGTCTCGATATCTCGGGGTAGGTTATCCAGCCTTACTTCGGAGATGACAACTGATCGTGTTTTCATAGCGCTGGACACTCCGATGATTCAATATATCGCACAAATATCCATCGTGGATGGTCGCTCGGCGCCGTTTCTCAAGAGATTGCAAGTGTTTTTCTAACTATTCTTTGGGTTCTTCAAGTTTAAGCTGAATTGATCCGACATTTCAGGGACACTGGGAGCAGTTCAGACGGATTAACCTCTCGCAGTCCTCAACTGCCACAGGGACGACCGCAGCACACACCGACAATGTCGATGCAAGCGATAGCGATGCCGACTCGGATAACGATGACGGGACTGTAATTGGCGACTCTGATTCTGACGACGGACCAATATACATGCGGTCGTAAGTGTCCCTGCTGTGTCCAATCAGCTTGCTAACCGGCATCTGAGCAGAGTTCCTCGGAAGCAGATGCCAGCTGCACCACCGCTCCAGAAAACGGAGTCAAACTCATCCGTCAAGTTCCTCCACGATATGCCTGGGTTTTTGAAAGTGGATGTAGAGGAAGAAAAACACGCGGAGCCTGACTGGCCCCGAATCGTAACCGTCTACTTCGTAGTCTCCGTGGCGACTTCGATTCGGTTCTAAAGAAACAAGGAATGGACTTGGACTTTGACTCGGACCAGTATTTTGCGTATTAGCCGGACTGTACTGGTATTCTATCTGCTTGGTTTCGGATGTTATGGATGTATTCTATTTCCAGTGGAATAAACGCTTCCCGTTGGCACATTGCGCTTTCCTTGCTTATGAGTTGTCAATGGTCATCGCCACTCTGGGGTACTGCGATTATTATTCTTTCTTGTCTTTTGCACAACGTGAATCCGAGTTAAAGCATTTTAACAGCGTTACTTGAGAATACGTGGTGACGTGATTGAAAAAGCTTGTCCGCGACCACATCTTTCTCGCGTTCATATTGCCCAAGGCTCGCACGAGCGGCGAGCGGGATCTTGTGTACTCCACACGCTCGCCTTGTCCGCAGGCCGCGCTTCCCCCCATTCACGTCCAAAACAAATGCGGGTGCGTGAGGGCCTTTTTACAATTTGGCTATTTTGTTCTAACCTTTGGATACCCGGGCCGCAGCCCTCGCCACCGACAACATGCGAACTATTACCCTTCTGAAACCACATCCTCGCCTCCGTCTACAATCCGCCAAATGCTCCTTTCGCACTTTGTCCTGATTCGAGAGGTGTCCAGTGAAGCATACACAACTTGACTGTAACGGAATGGCTGGACAAAGCAAGTCGCCAGCGGACACTGCAACCCGTGGGTTTCGTTGAGAAGAGTGTGCAAATGGCTGTGTGCCTTGGTGCGTATTCACTGCTCCTGTTATAAAGTCTTCTTACTAACGTTTTTGTGTGGTAGTCCGAGAGGACCGAGACTGGTATATCAGTGGCACCCAATGGCAAGCGCATAGATCAGGGCTGGCCTCACCCAACGGGTCGTCGTGGCCGCTTCCGTCGTCTATTTATCCTCGCCGTCCCATTTTCAGCAACTGGAGCCGCGAGCGTTCTCTTGATGCAAAAGACCTGGGGCTATGCGAAGTTGAATCAGGCTTCGGGCAGTCCAATAGCTGGAGTCTGGAGACGCACATGAGATGACGGTCAGGTCATCTGGGAGGCGAAGCGGTCTTCGCGAGGATACGACAGCAAAAGGTGCGCTATCATTTCTTCTTGTTAGCTTGCTGACAGATCTGGTCCTCCCTTAGCAATGCGTTTTCGACAAGCTGGGCTCGACTGCACAAGATTGATGCAGACTTTTTTAAAGGAGGTCTTAGGAGGAACCGCTCGACTTTCACGGCCTTATCCACATCGCTCACAAGGTTCAAAGTTGCGAGTCAAGTCCAATAGGACATGCACAACAATAGACCAGCTATTATACGGTAATGGATCTTGACTGGTAGTCGCAAAGGTATGTATTTCTCCATCGATTTGCCGGCCAATGTGGACTTAGTGTGCATATGCAGAAGTTGATGCCGCAAGCAAACCCCATCTGGGCTTGCTGCAGCAACGTCCACATATAACCAACCATACCAACAACTGCGACATGTTTAAAGTTTTCGTGCGTACATATGGGTCAACCTTCTTGATTTAGACAAAGTAAAGCCGGAGACATAACCCCCTGGGTTGTCCTCGCAAGAGCAAACTTTAGACGGGCAGGTTGAAGGTGGATGGTGGATGGTGCTCATTATGCGGCTTTCTCTCGACGCAACTCAATCGACTTGCCAATTTGTCTAGTTTGGGCCAGAGTAGTGGCGACCGATATGGTAAGAGTTTTCGTCCCGGAATTCATTGGTGGCTCATCGTGAACCTCTTTCCGCCCAGCATCATCATGTTCAGTCTGGTTGCTATTACAGTATTAATGATCCTATCGGTTGCTTGCTTACTAGTTCTCTTTCTTTGCTACATTCTATTATGCCTGCCAATCCATGGACCTTGTTTCGAGTCTTCGATTCTACTTTATTCACTTTGTACTATTAGTTCTGGTCCTACAGCATAAATATATACATAAATAGTTGTTGTCTTGTTCCGCACAAAATCCCAAGAGGAATCTACATGCCTAGACACCGCCCAGTTGTGGAGGGGTCAAGTTGTTGTAGGTAGGGCACAGGGTGTCCCACGCGTCGGGCTGAACGGAGTTGGCGATGGTGTCTGTGTCTTCAGCAAATACGATAGCGAGGCCGCTGTTCCAAGGTCAGAGGAACGAACAATTGGATAGAGGGCGGAAAAGGACATACGTCTCGAGATGGAAGTCGATATGGCAATGGAGGAACCACGGGCCGCTGTTGTCTGTCTCGAAGCGGATAGTTACGTTGTCGCTAGAGAGGTGTGAGGAGATGTAGTTGCCATCGAAATAAGGCAACACACTTCTTTGAGGAGCTCGTGCTCACAACGTCGCGGATGACAGGGTTGTCGTAGTTGTAGACTGTGCTGCCGGCGCTGCGAACGACCCAGAAGTTATGCTAGGTAGGAACGGGTAAGCATGACACCGACACTGGTCAAAAAAAAGGAGACAAACACCGTGCAAGTGCATAGGATGTGGAGCTCCTGTCGTTCCTCCTGGAATGGAAAGCTCGACAACCTTGTTGGGTGGAAGAGTACTACATGACGATATCAGAGAAAGTTAAGTCTTCGCAAGTGAGAAACTCACTAAAGGGTTCCTTTTGGCAGTAACTCAGCTGCGGTATGGGCACCACTGAGGATCTGGAGAAGGACAGGAGCAGTCGGAGGGATGAATTGGGCGCCGTTGACGGTGAAATGGCCGCCGCTGAAGGCAATGGCAAGGTTGAGATTGACATCGGCACCTCCGCGAATGGGGGCTCCCGGGACGCTGCGCGCAACGAGCGGATGAAGATCAGTCTCGAGAAGGGCCTTGGTGGCGGTGGTCTGGGTGGTGGTAGGGTCAACATTATTGGCACCGGCATAGCGGAGAATAGCAGAGTTGATGCCATTCGCAAAGCCTTGATACCAACGTGTTAGCTGCGCTAGCCATTTGAGATAGGATAGATTCACCCTTCGTTCCTCCGTTAGCAACAGTGCGAACCCAATAGTTGTTCACGGGTTGATTGGCGTTGAGTACAAAGGAGTAACGCTGTCCGGCGAAGATCTGAATGGAATCTACCGTCAAGGGCTAGCAACATGAGTAAGTGAGAGAATACGAAAGCGAGTAAAGCTAACCTGCGTGTTCACGCTGTCTACTTCGATAATGGTCATCAGGTGGTTGTCAATGGTGAAGACGAAGTTGGGATCTATGAGGGATGAACGAAGGAGAAGAAGTCAGACAACAAGCACATACCGCAAGAGAGCGAGACAAGACGGAAGCGATACCGCTTGTTCTGAGTGACCGAGATAACAGCAAGTTGGGAAGTAGGGCCGCCAGCATAGCGTCCAAGGCCGTTAATGAGGGTGGAAACGAGAGTGGGGGGATTAGGAAGAGTGTGGGTCGGAGCATGGTACCAATCGGCAAGAGTAATTATTGTGCTGTCGTCGTCAACATCGTAGAGATCCTTGTGGGGATCGTTTGGGTCGTAGACTAGGCCACAGTAAGCCATCATGTTTGTGGAATAGATGGGGACCGCGGGGACGCACCGACCATAACCCCACGAAGTCCATCACAATATTGGGTCGATAGATGCGAATGGTACCAAAATGTGCCTGTTCATCAGGTCAGCGGTATTCGAGAACGGGAGAGCGAACTCACCTGGCTGGCCAGCTGTGGAGAAGTCATATAAGAACGACTGGTTCTGCGCAATGGGGCATTGGGTAATGAAAGCAGGGCCGTCAGCCCATGAAGTGCCGGATTGAAAGCTGAAGGTGGCCGTTCAGCGTCGGGGAAGACATCGCCGACGAAAACACTCACAAGCCGTGCCAGTGAATAGAACTACTAAGCAGCATGGTCTTGTCCGTTAACGCGTCGATGACGTTCAGCTGGAACCTGTCGCCGACATTGGCTTTGAGGACAGGACCAGGGATAGTTCCACCAGCGGTGACGGCTCTGAAATGGTTGTTAGTTTGCTTGCAAATGAACCCGAAAGAAACCTACGAGCGACTGAAGCCATCGGGAGCAACTTGAGCGTTGACGAGAGTCAAGTCAGCAACGGGACCAACTGCAGCGAAAGCGGGGGCAGAAAGAATGGCAGCAATAAGGAATGAAGTGGAGAACATAACGAAGAGGAAGGGGGGTAAACGGTGGGGTCTAAGCGTTATTTCTGCGCGTCCTTTTTAAGCTCATCAAGATCTGCCATATTTCTTTAGCGAGTCGATGGGGGTGGTTGTCGCGATGAGTTTCACAACAATTCAGCAAGAACGCGGAGGGAGTGACCAGAAGGGGAAAGATTGCTTTGTCGATGCTCTTGTGTATCGGACCCGAACCCGCGATGCACTGACAATATAAGTGTTAGGACGATGACAGATGAGGCTCATTCACCTTCTTTGCCCTAACATGCTCAAGTCACTCTTTACTATTGCTGCCCTCGCTTCACTTGTCGCCGTTCGTCGTAGTCCCTTCTATCTCCTCGGCTCACTTGACGATTTGTCCCTAGGCCGCTCCTGGAGGAAAAGTCTTCACCGCCATCCAAGAGATTCAAACCCTTATCGACGTGTAAGAACACTCGTTGCAAGTCCTTGGTACTGGCGTTAAATCCCATCTCTAGCGAGCCCTTTTTCGTAACGGTAACCTCGACCATCGTCTGGACGTTCGTGATAACCAAGCTCCCCAGTTATCTTGCTGATGTCTATTGTTTCTTTAGGGCAAGTCCTAGCACGACCTTCGCTCACCCAACGGGTACTCCTGTTTTCGGTCACCACCACTCATGAATGTACTGTAGCCTGTTGTAGCGTTGAATAATAACATCGGGCCAGCGTCGTCCTCGGATGTGTTTCCAGTGCTTCCGGATGGTGGGAGTCGAGAAGGAAGATGATTGCCGCGGATGATGGTCGCGATGCTAATCAATGCGTCATCATCTTCTTTTGCCTGAACCGGAAATGCCGATGCCCAGAAAAGATGAAGGGCCGCCGACGTAAATATTTGTGGAATATACTGCCTGGATACGGCGCATGCGATGGCCTGTGGTGATCCCGCTCCGCCGATTCTGTGCGTCGGGATAGCTGTTCAAGTGCGGTAGTCCACGTGGATGCTCTTCGGGTGTCAAATCTCATCTCTTCATTTCATACCGGATGCAGAAGCAAATCTCAGCTGTGAGGAGTCCTGCAATCTGCCACAACCGGGTAGCAAAACTCCTGCCAGTAGGCCCGGGGTGGCTCAACACTATCCAGCTGTTCGCTATTACTCTGTGTTTGTTTACCAGGCTTTTGAACCGTGCCCTTTGCGGTGTCGGTGTCAGACTGCGGGTCGGGCCGTGCAAGGACTTCTCCTAAGAACGCGCGCCCGGAACAGAACAGACGGATAGTCGGGCCCGCAAGTACGGCGGGCGGTGTAGATCGAAACCGAAAGGGCCCGTGAACTCGGTCCCTTGTCGTAGTCGGTGGTCGATGGTTCGAATCGGGTCGTGTCGGGCCCGATGAGTCGATAGCGTCTCCTCGCACGGAGTAAGGTAGTTCTTCAGACGATCTAAGCGATAGGGTACAGGGTACACTATCGCTCCTTATATACGCGGGCCCGCAAAGGGGGTGATCGGACACCCTGGCCTCTCCTCCTCCTCCTCGCTCCCGTTCCTGGCCGCAGAGGGGACGATCCCACATCCCTTGCGGGCCAGGCGCTACTCCTGACCTCCTAGCACTCCTCCCCAGTCCCCTGGTGTCGAGTTGGGCTCGGCGACGGCTCGACGCGTCGTTCTCGGTCACGTGCTTCCCACGTGTGCGTTCCTCCTACTGGGGCGCATGTTCCCCGTCGTCACGTGCTGCGTGTTATGGGCCCGCAATGGCCCGACACCAGCGCCGGAGCGGACGGGCCGGGTCTTATCCGTGACATCACCCCCTCCCTAGGAACGACTCGTCTCGAGTCGGCGTGGCTCGGTCGCCCCGGTTTCTCGGGTTTAATTTTGACTCTAGCTCGTCCTTCCAATCGCAAATTCCATCCAGCCCATAAGCTTTAAGCTAAGCTTCGGCTGCGCATTTTAATCTCCCGCGGCTTCTGTCGCCTCGTGGCGTCCGCAGATCGATTCTTCCTGTCCATCAAGTGTTTCACCGCGGTCACGTGCAGTGCGTCGTAGGTGTTTTTCAATTCAGTTGCGCGTCCTTTGTTCCTATTGCTTGCGAGTAGGCTGTGCTGCGCGCCTTGGTCGAAGTTCGATATAGAACGCGTTCGTTCCCCCATATAAGCCGGGACTTCCCCTTCTAATCCTCTTCATGTCGTCCCCCAACTTGTACCGCTCCGGGTTATTGCCCCCTCTCAGCTCTCAGATGATTCCCCCTTCCTCGGAGCCTGGTCGTCTGTTCGTCCGTTTCGCCTCCATGTCTCTCGTCGAGTTTCCTGCCTCCTGGCCCATCGCGCAAGGGCGAGACCTGTCGTACCGGGAGTCGTTCGAGCCCCTCCGCCCGTTGGAGGACTTGCCTCCGTCTCAAGCCGCCGACTATTCCTCCAAGCTGTTCCCTCTGTTGGCCCCCGTAGTCCGTTCACATCGAGCTCCCGCTCTCCCAGTCCCCCCTTCAGCGCCCCCGCTGCCGTCGTCTTCCTGTCGAATCTTGTGGCAGGGCGAATTCGACCGCCTAATGAAGGCCGGTCTGTGGCAGCCGCTTGTCTTCGGGCCTCATCACCTCTATTTCGGTGTTCTATTTGATGTGTTCCCCTCCTCCTTCGTCTGGCGTCGCGAGGACGGCTCTCTTCAGGATGTTCGCCCCTTGTTTGGACAACTGGGCCGTGGCCTTCTTGCGCACCTCCTCGCTGCCGACGCTGCTTCTCTCAGTGATTCGTTTTTTCCCCGTCTGTGGCGTTGGGTGGTATGTCTTCCTCTCTGTGTGCTTTCGGCCGTGTGCTGACGGTCTCCGTTCAGCGCCTCATCCTTCACGCCTTGTCTTGCGCCGCCTCTGTCGGCCTCCCCTCCTTCGTCTCAGACCGATTCCTCGTCTTAGCCCACGTGGCCGCTTTTCGCGTGTTTCCCGGAGAGAACGTAGCTCGGCCTGATACGCTGGCCCGACTACTGGGCCCTCTCCCTCCATCTCTCGTGCCGCCGTTACTCCATGCCGACCGGTGGTCGTCCTTCGTTCGGGTAGTTTCCTTGCCTGATCCTCGGGAGGAGTTTGCCTTCTCGGGCGGCCCCTCGTTGGATGAGGCGGAAGCGGGTGTTTCGTTCAGCTTCCTCCCGTTGGCGGCCTGGTTGGATGATCAATTCCCGAGCCCCAAGAGTGATCCGGAGGGTTCCGAGTCGACGGCCCCGGTCATGAAGCGCGTTCCCCCTGCTCCGGTGGTTCGGGCGCGGTCTTCGTCTTCGATGGAGGTCGACGTGGAACGGGATGGTGCCCCGCCGGTTTCGACCCTGCTTTTCCTACCTTCCGACTCGGGTTCGGATTCGGATGTGGAGGTGATCGCCGGCCCTCGTCGTTTGTCTTCGGTGGGGATCGACGCCTCTGGAGGCGTCGCGCCTCCAGAGAGCCATAGGCGTTATATTTTTACAAATGCAACTAGCTACAGCTAGCATAGCAGTTGTCAAATACACTGAGCAGGGCTTTTTGTCACATATGTCACATTCATTTAAAGGCTTATTTTATTTATTTAAGACTACTATTATGGTAATTGATGATGGAACTGATAGCATCTAGATAATGTCATCAATGTGGAAACATTTTTGATTGCCATCAAAAGTTTTGATGATTGTAACCAGCTACATCATTTCTGTCCAAATTGGGATTATTCATTATTTTCTATATATATAGTCTTTCAAATTATATAACGGGTCTTCGGCCTGAAGAAAAGGAAGTTAACATTCATTTATTAAGTATAACAATTATTAATACTGATGTTATATCAAAGTTTGATCAGTCTTATAGGGGAACAGAAGACAAATGCACTAACTGCACTCAGGCCTCAGTGGAGCTAGTGGATTTGACACCAGGTTGGCTCAGTGCACTCAGTGCAGTTGTCAAATGTGCACAACTACAGGTGGCCTCTGAACACGATTCGGCTACGGATGCCCTCGACCCTTCCTTCTCCCCAGCCGTGTCGCCTGCCCCGTTGCAACGGGATTTCGGCACCCCCCTTGGCCCCTCGTCTAGAATCTACTGGTCAGCTGGCGCTTTTCCGGGGGGAGCCCCCTCGTCAACCGGGAACAGTGATCCGATCCCTTTCCCCTCGCTGCGAGTATTGCATCGCTCATGATCGTTTGTGCACCGTGTGGGGCGTCCCAGATAGTTCTCCCCAGAAACTCCCTGGTCCCGTGCGTCGGGCTTGTGACGTGTGCAGCCCGCTCCATCGTGCCTGTCTGCGTTGGCAATCTTTTGCAGATGCGTACAAGGCTCGTTCCGCGGATCTGCGCGATTTTTCCTTCGAATTTTGGGAGCGTCAAGTCGAGGATGGCGAGTTTGCGCTGCTGCGTCCCGATCCCCGCTTCGCCGATCTGGTCGGGCTGTCCGCATCGGTTCCGTACCGATCCTTCTTATTCTCCTATTTGCCCCGCTCAAACGAGGATCGGTTCGGACGGAGCCCGACCCCGGCGGTCGGGCCTTCTTCGGGCCGTCGTCGCCGCCCGGTCGTCCTGTCGCCAGGGTCTTCTCGAGACTCCTCCCCATCCTCCGTGCGAAAACGAGTTCGCACCCGCTCGCCGTCTCCCCCACCATCGCCGGGTTGGCCCCGACCGAGACCTCGCCCCAATTTCCGCCGGCCAACCCCCCCTGTCGCGGATCGCTCGTTAGGAGAAGCGTCGTTCCGGCCGCGCGCCCCTGCGGGTAAGACCCGCCCCCCTTCTTATCCCACCATGGGTTTCCAGGTGCCATCATTCCCTCGAGTCTCCCTGTGGTTTGGGAGAGAGTGGGACTTGGATCGGGCTATCACCGAGTCTCGCCGGCTGCATGGGGATCTGTCGGTGCCCGCCGATCAGCGCTTGTCACCGTTGGGCGTGCTGCTGTTGCAGCAATCGGCGGTTCATTCGGCCGACGGGGATTTTCCAGATGCTCGGACCCGTGCCCTCACGGAGTTGTCGTCGATGCGTTCTCTAGACGCAGACCTCCGGTTGGTGAACTCGCTGGAGTCCCTGACAGCATCGCGGGACGTTGCCGACGTGTGCCGCTACCTGGGCGCCATTCTCCTGGCTATCCACCGGTCCGAGGGAGAGAGGTCGGGATTCTGGGAAACGCCGGAGGGTTTAGAGCGTCGGGCCGCTGAACGAGAGGTGTATGCGAATGTGTGCCGTCAGGACGGCCTGAGCTTCGACATGATGGACCTGGATTAGGCTTCGGCGGGTCGTTGGTCGTCTTTCGGCGACATCGGCCGGAGTTCCCCGTCTACTCGGGTCTCGGCGTTCGGGTATCCCCGTCCTTTCGTTGGCTGTTGTCGTTCGCGCGCCTTGTCAAGTCGGCCCCTCCCGTAGGACTTCCCCGTGGTGGTTCGGACTACATCTTGTTTCTTGTTTCGTTCGTGTTTTTTTTGTATTTTTTTTTTTTGCAATCAACCAGTCGTCTTGCGCTCGTTCGTCGTGTGGTGGGTAAAAACAGGAGATTTTATTATTAGGGGCCCGAGGGCCCCGCCAAAGGTTAAAATAGAGCAGATTATGAGAGGAATAAGGATGGCCCCCAGGGCCTTCGTACGGAGGGAGGTGTGCCTCATTTCATCAGGCAGAGTGTGCCGGTGGCCCGGGGCGGTCCGAGACGATTCGGATCGGGGTCCGGCCGTACGCGGGGAGGGGCGGTGAGTTGTTGAGGCGTCGACGCTTTGTGGCGGGCCCGGCACCCTGGGCCGGGCAGGCGTGTTCCATGTGCCGATGGTGCTTGTCCCACCCCTCCCTGGACAGGAGACCCGCCTAGGGGTGCCCCACTTCAGAGCGGGCTCCTTTCTCCCGTAGAGGACGCGGTTGAAGACCACGGGTTGGGCTTCGAGGGTGCGCCCGTATAGGTAGGCAAGGGAGGCGATGACGATAGCCACTATCGTAGCCCACGCCGGGAGTGCGATGACGGTGGTAGTGTCCATTCTGTTGCGGGTGTAGGGGGATCGCTTAGATTCTGTCAGACTGCGGGTCGGGCCGTGCAAGGACTTCTCCTAAGAACGCGCGCCCGGAACAGAACAGACGGATAGTCGGGCCCGCAAGTACGGCGGGCGGTGTAGATCGAAACCGAAAGGGCCCGTGAACTCGGTCCCTTGTCGTAGTCGGTGGTCGATGGTTCGAATCGGGTCGTGTCGGGCCCGATGAGTCGATAGCGTCTCCTCGCACGGAGTAAGGTAGTTCTTCAGACGATCTAAGCGATAGGGTACAGGGTACACTATCGCTCCTTATATACGCGGGCCCGCAAAGGGGGTGATCGGACACCCTGGCCTCTCCTCCTCCTCCTCGCTCCCGTTCCTGGCCGCAGAGGGGACGATCGCACATCCCTTGCGGGCCAGGCGCTACTCCTGACCTCCTAGCACTCCTCCCCAGTCCCCTGGTGTCGAAGTTGGGCTTGGCGACGGCTCGACGCGTCGTTCTCGGTCACGTGCTTCCCACGTGTGCGTTCCTCCTACTGGGGCGCATGTTCCCCGTCGTCACGTGCTGCGTGTTACGGGCCCGCAATGGCCCGACACCAGCGCCGGAGTGGACGGGCCGGGTCTTATCCGTGACAGTCGGTGCTTTTGCGCGAGAGGAGCCTCAAATACTCAATGATTGACACTCATATGTATGCCAAAGTTAGTGAGGCTGATTGGCGGCGCTGATCATCCCAGACGGGTCACGGCATCAAAAGATATGCCCATCGACGGTGCAAATCAAGCGCACTGTGTGCCAGAGCTGAGGTACTCATATTGGCCCTCATCGACGGCATCATCCTTAGGCATTGCTCTGAATTTTGTTATCATAACGTCGACAACTGACACATTCAAGACACATTTTCGACTTTTTTGGCAAGTTGTTCCAGTTCAACAAACTTCCTATTTCGTAGCGGCGACAGTCAGCACACCATCAGGCTAACAGGTACAATGTCGAACCTCATGACCAAACGGCAGTTTGGAAACCTTTCTCGGACATTTTGGGTTTGTTCCAGACATCCTGGATCCACCAAGATGCGGCACGCAGCGTCGCAGCCGCACGCTCAAGATTGAAAAACCAGGAAGTATCGCTATTGGACGAATCAGAACGATATGAATCGAATTCAAGACCATATATATAACCCTATCTAGGCCCACAGTATCATGAATAGTAGAGTAAATTCATCACAACACTATCGTGAAGCCCAACAACGATAGCACGGCCCCGACCAGGACACGGTCGCATCTCGGAATAGGAACGGACGGATTGACGCCGTTGGCACTAGGACCATTGTTGTCCCCGAGCGCGGTTGGAAGCAGGGAGGTCGCCGCAGGTGAAACTGGGCCGGTGAAGTTGTCTAGTCCTGAGGTCGGCGCCGTAACGGTCGTGCTGGAGTTCGAGCGATTTGCGTTCGGGTCGGAGATCGTTTCTGCTAGGCAAGCAAGCTTCAGTAGGCAAACAACCAAGAGCTGCCGTAGACGCACCTGGCTTGGTTGGCGCCACCGAAGACGTGCCTCCCTCTGTCTGATTCCTCGTTAGTCTCGCTGGGTGGATCAGGGTCAGGTGGATTTACTTTCTGCTGCGTGGTTGTTTTTACTTGCGCATCGGGAGGGAAGACATATCCTGCGATGAACTCGTATGTGTACCCTTGACTGACGGCACTGTCCCTTTCCGCCGGGTCGACCGTATAGAAGTGGTCGGTGACGGTGCCGCCGATGTACAGTCGATGCAGGGGGACGGAGCCACATTGTGCAGTTGGGTAGACATACAACGGCGTGACCGTGTCCTCGTAGACGTAGCTCTGTGTCAAGGTGCGTGCCGCCTCTACCGTATCGGCGGTGTACAGATGGTCACCTGCAGTCGAAAATTCAAGTTAGTCCCCTTGAATAACTTCAGAAACGGCCACACACCAACGCCGGCACTCCACAACCTTCGCAGCCTGACGCTCCCAGCCACCTGCGTCGTAAACACCAGCGCACGGATCCCTTCTTGCACATATCCGTTGTTCGCCACCTCAGGCTACCCCTACCTGGTACCTCTTAGGCTTAATCGAACCCACGGAACCCTGGGCCTAAGAGGTACCAAATCCATGGTATCACCCATGGGGGTGGTACTATCCACAAATTGTGGATGGTACCATGGGTGTCACACAACCCATGACCATGGTTCCATCCATACAGCCTTGGGTGCATCCATGGCTGTGTGGATGGTACCATGGTGCTTTGCCTGATTTGGATGGTGGGGTGAATGCCTTGTAGCTCGCTCAAATCTGGCTCAAAAAATAAGCGCTTTGGTGCAGCCGGTAGGTCTCCCCCCGGGCTCTTTGATCCAATCACCTAGTGACGGGAAAGTCACTGGTTTGGCTGGAAGGTGCTTCTGGCATATTTTAGGAAAAATACCCTTGCAATGCTATTGCCTTGGCTTTTGGGTTGTCTGATTTGCACTAGAAAAATGAGATATTTTCGCTCTTCAAGACAGGCCAAGTCCCATGAGATTTGCTTGGCAGACTATGGAGTTTTGAATATTTTTTGATTTTTCTGGCTTTTGATTAGTTGGCAGTTCGGGCATCATAAATGGGTAGTAGGCAGGCTAGAGTACATGGAAAGTGATGTACAGTATGTCTAGAGTATGTACTACATGCTCCCACCCAGTTGGCCATGCCCCCACTCCTTGGCCTTTGCAGGGTATTGGGCGCTGGGGGAGCCGATCGGCCATCACTGATGGCATCAATCCGACCGGCATGTTTGATTTGGATGCATCCATGGTGCCAGGCAGATGGGGCCATGGATGCATCCATGGCTGGGCTTGATACCATGCATGGATGCATCCATAGGTAGTTTTGAAATTATCTGTGGTACCATCCATCTCACATGGATGGTACCACAGTCCTCACATGGATGGTACCACAGTCATGTTAATACCATAATGGATGCAACCACAGTCATATGTGGATGCAGCCACGGGCAACTTGGATCAAACTGTGGGTACATCCATATGGACATGGTTGCATCCACATATGGATGGTACCATAGCACATGGTTGCATCCACACTTCCTGTATGGATACATCCATACATTAGTGGTACTATCCAAGGCCCATATGGTCCTCTATGTCCCTGGTAATACTAAGTAACCTTGGTATGATCCGATATAATCAAGTTCTGTCAAAGGACATCAGTTAATATAGTAGTTATGGCATGACAAAACAAATATACTATGCAAACATACTATATATGCAAGAAAATTAGAGTTTTCATAAGGGATTATTTCAAGATGACAAAATGTCACCAGGTCCTGCTATTACATCAAAGCTGGCTATTCCAAGTACTTGGATAACTTTTTCAGTGACCTTGAGTAGTAGCTTTATTGTTATACCAGTACTAATGAGGTGTCATCTCACTAATTGGAGAACTCATAACCACAAGTACCTTAATAACAGTATTTCTATCTTTTGACAATGGAATGTCTGTAAGGCAACCCTGGAGGCCCGAAATCAGGGTCCTAGCAGGGGAGGATCCAGTGGCAGGCAAATACACAGGAAGCTGACCTAGCAGGAAGGATCCAAAGAGAAGAAACCCTAAGGGTCCGCCTGCTAGGTAGCTGAACTATATACTATGCTCTTGATACACCAAGTGTGATCATTGCTCCAAGCAGTATGCCTGTGCCATGTCGCAGGCCAGGTCCTAGGGGAATCTCTATGGCAGGGCAGCGATGTGCCTGATGGAGGTGGTGATATGCTCACTAGAGTCAGAATCAGACTCGGAATTGGCGGGCCAAGGGGGAGGTTCCTCTGATAATGTCATTATTATTCATACTGGGATTTCCACCCAAAAATGGGTGCTTAAGTAGGATTGATTCGCAATAAATGGTGGACAAAAAAGATATATATTTCAAATGACTTGGAAAAATAGCAATAAAACTCTACGAAAGTAGACTTGATTTTTTAAGAAATTGGGGAATACTTATATTAAGTTATCATATTGGACTCAACTTAAAGCTGATATCAGCTAACAATTTTTAAATGGGCTAAGGAATCTCTTATAGTACTATTATCAGTGTTATCCTATCAGAAAATGAAGAGTTCACCATGTCATGGCTTTTGTAAGTTTTAGCAGTCTGAGTAGATATTAACTATTTGGGTATTCTCTATCTGGTAGCCAGTGGTGTTCTTGTCCTTATAGTAGAGCTCAATCCCAGGTGGTGAGGTCATTAATCTATAGGGCTATGGTACATTCCACATTCATAGTTCTCAGATATTTGTACAATACTGTCCCCTTTAGTATTCAAGCATGCTTGGCAGTGACTAAATTGAGATAATAGTGACAAATGATATAGCTGAATGGGATAAATGATGGCAAGCTGGTATACCCCTTAAATGATGATCTCTTTCCCAGTATCATCCATCAGGGCTAGCTGAAGATGCATGCTTATCTTTCAGTAACTAATTTTCTCAGTTGAAAAATGCACATGCTAAAGCTTTACACCATTGTCATGAGCTGGATTCCAGCTCTCTACACAAATGGACCCAGCTTGTCACCAGCTTTGGCCAGCTATTGAGTGATATTGAGAGAAGTGGAGGGGTAGTGGGGAAGGAAGGGGAGAGAGAACTGGAGAAAGGGAGTGAAGAAGGGAGTGAAGAAGGGAGGGGCAGGGAAGAGGGAAGAGGGAAGAGGGAAGTATCAATCATCTCATTGACATCCAGCGCGGAATTTTCCAGGAGGTCCTTAGGCCTCTGGATTGTGCATCTGGCATTCCCATGGCCAACAGCTACTGCCAGGTGTTATGTGAGTCAGTGCCAGCTGGAAACAACAGCTGAACATCAGCTACATGCCAATTGGTGGTGTACTTAGTTTCATATATGCTGCATATCTGACATTACCTACTGATTGATAAATTATTATAGAATTTACTCTTCTCCACATATTGAAAGCCTTCTGAGATGTAAGGTTACTTACTTAGTATTACCAGGGACATAGAGGACCATATGGGCCTTGGATAGTACCACTAATGTATGGATGTATCCATACAGGAAGTGTGGATGCAACCATGTGCTATGGTACCATCCATATGTGGATGCAACCATGTCCATATGGATGTACCCACAGTTTGATCCAAGTTGCCCGTGGCTGCATCCACATATGACTGTGGTTGCATCCATTATGGTATTAACATGACTGTGGTACCATCCATGTGAGGACTGTGGTACCATCCATGTGAGATGGATGGTACCACAGATAATTTCAAAACTACCTATGGATGCATCCATGCATGGTATCAAGCCCAGCCATGGATGCATCCATGGCCCCATCTGCCTGGCACCATGGATGCATCCAAATCAAACATGCCGGTCGGATTGATGCCATCAGTGATGGCCGATCGGCTCCCCCAGCGCCCAATACCCTGCAAAGGCCAAGGAGTGGGGGCATGGCCAACTGGGTGGGAGCATGTAGTACATACTCTAGACATACTGTACATCACTTTCCATGTACTCTAGCCTGCCTACTACCCATTTATGATGCCCGAACTGCCAACTAATCAAAAGCCAGAAAAATCAAAAAATATTCAAAACTCCATAGTCTGCCAAGCAAATCTCATGGGACTTGGCCTGTCTTGAAGAGCGAAAATATCTCATTTTTCTAGTGCAAATCAGACAACCCAAAAGCCAAGGCAATAGCATTGCAAGGGTATTTTTCCTAAAATATGCCAGAAGCACCTTCCAGCCAAACCAGTGACTTTCCCGTCACTAGGTGATTGGATCAAAGAGCCCGGGGGGAGACCTACCGGCTGCACCAAAGCGCTTATTTTTTGAGCCAGATTTGAGCGAGCTACAAGGCATTCACCCCACCATCCAAATCAGGCAAAGCACCATGGTACCATCCACACAGCCATGGATGCACCCAAGGCTGTATGGATGGAACCATGGTCATGGGTTGTGTGACACCCATGGTACCATCCACAATTTGTGGATAGTACCACCCCCATGGGTGATACCATGGATTTGGTACCTCTTAGGCCCAGGGTTCCGTGGGTTCGATTAAGCCTAAGAGGTACCAGGTAGGGGTAGCCTGAGGTGTGTTCGCGTCGTACTCCGAGAGGTCAGCCTTAAAAACATCTCAGCGTCAATAACACAGGACTGCTCTGCAAACGAACGGTGTAGAAGTGGTCAAAACCTGCTCGGAACTTGCGGTAGAGAGGCTTTGCATCCGACGGGCCAGAGCAAGCCCGAACCTAAAAAGCTTGAAGTTGACGAAAATGACCAAAGGTGAAGGTCAAGTTAAAGACTTGCCTGCAGCACAACAAATAAGACGCCGAAGAGGAATGTCAAAGAGGGATGCATAAGGAGCCAAAGACAACCTGCTGGGGAGGCACTACTAGTGCACTTCGTGAATGGCGCCCATGTTTCGCTTAGTCCCGGCGTTGTTCCGGCGAAGGATTCGCTGCTGACATAATTCAGCATTTGTCATCAAAAATCGTCTCAATGCTAAAACTTTGCGGAATATGATACATTGGACTGCTGCTCTACAATTACATACCTACAAATACATTAATGAGAATGCTTATACTTATTATCATCATCGAAAGTAACCAGGTCAGATCTGGGATACCAACCTCCCCATCGCCTCCCTGTCCGCGTCTTCCTGCACATCGATCCCAGCATGGACATCCTCCCCGACAGCTTCTGACACCACCAAGTCCCCGCGGGGTCGGAGCTGTCTCGCCCGCAGCTCGCTATCCTGCAGCTCGACAACACCCTCTTCCTTAGACTCCTTTCTCTCGTTCCTCCTCTCTTCTGGCGTAGACATGCTTGTTGTCGCGCTAGGACTGGCAAAAGCAGACGCCGTCATCGAATCCTGGCCATAATCCAAATCGACAATCGTCGAGAGGTATCCCGTATCGTGTCGTGAGCGGTGTCTCCGTGGCCACCATATACGTGTCGTCCTTCGTTGTCCGTCATTTCTCGTGGTGGTAGTCGTGTTCGGGGAGGGGCTTTCGGGGTCGTCGCTGCTCGTGAGAGAGTCATAATATAGCGCAGACATGGCGCGGATGAATGCCTGATGAACGCTGATTAGCACCAAGGCAAAGTAGAAAAAGTAAGGCCAACGAACGGGGTCGGTGGCGGCCAGGATGCCGTAGATGAGGGGACGAGAGGAGTAGATAGCGAGGTCGACAAGATTTACCCGCCAGTTCTATGGAGTTTAAGGGTCTGGAAAAAAGAGGAAAAGAGAGAGCTCACCACTTCAGTGCGCTGTGGGTCACTAGCAAGATGCCAATCGATGACCGAGGTAGAGATATTAAGCAGACACGATGAGAGAGGGTATAGGCCTAGACGCATGATTGTCATTGTTTTCGAAGACCAAAATTTAAAAACGCACCAATACGAAGGACAATGCTTCGAAACACCCTAATGGCAGACCTCGTCCTCTGTCTTTCCCTCTCCGTCATTTGCGCATGGGTAGATGTGTCGGGCTTGCTTTCGTTATGAGTATCGAGGTTTAGCTCGAGAGTCGGAAAAGTGGAAGTGGGATGTAATGACATAGGCATTATTTCAGGACCCCGGATACGATGGCGAAAGGACCTGGTCTCCAGCTAAAACTGCTGTCAGGGGCAGGGGCGCTTGAAAGGGTTGCACAAACCGACCTCGTAGCCCACCAAGTACACCAATATCACCACAAAGCTGATGACCTCGCCCGTCGAAGTAAGGAGTAGCGGCACCGTTTGTGTGCCAAGCATCCAGCGAAAGAGCTGCGGGCCCGGGGCATCGACATACCAGCATGTGAAGTTCGCCGGGTTCAGTCTACGGTAGCTTTAGTCAGTCTTTTGGCGAGGAAAAACAGAGCAATCAGAGACGCACCCAAAGCGGCCAGCGGCAAACGGCGTGACATTGCAAGCGAGGCAGACGGTGGTTACGCCGAGCACGTAGAATTTCTCCATCCGCTGGCCATTTACTTTGGCTGCGAGGACAAGGCTGTAAACAGCGGGAAAGTCAGACGTTGACGTGATGAAAGCAGGGGTTAGAGTGGACGAACGGGAGGTTGATGGCCACGCAGAAGAACATCCCCGCCGAGTACATTAGGCTACCCTGGACAGATGTGGTCAAAAATGCAGGGATACCAGCACACAACGACATACATTCGCAAAGAAAGCCTGGAACTGACAGGCAAGGCCGGGTTTTGTGTTTATCGTGGAGATGGGAAAGGATATGCAAAAGACAAGACTGGGGTTGGCTGGTGAGATTAGGTGGGAGAGTAAGGGAACAAGGGACATACTGCGCGACGAGAGCGTAGACAAGGAGCCGGAAGCTGACACGGTCGAGATGTCTGCGAGATATGGGTTGCAAGGCAGCACAGGCATAGAGGATGAGGAGAATAGTCGTCAACACTCCGCCTGGGATGATCAGGCCTAGGAGAACCCTCCGGCTGGACAGCGCACATTAGCACACAACGAACGAGAGATCTGCGTCAAGGAACTAACAAGAGGACTGCGTCTGCCGGTGTTGACTGGTGAAGCCGTGGGCCAGACCAAGCAGAGGAAGGCCCCGACATTGGGGAGGTGGTGGAGGGAAAGGAAGCGCAGGATGAGGAGGGAAAGTGACAGCTCTTGTGGGAAGGGATTCGGCGATTTGATGCGACGACCTCCGGTCACCTAACCAACAGAATGAATTGCAGATGAAACACTTTGCAGCCTCTGACAGGTGTTGTGGAGAAGATTAGACGTGCCTGAAAAAAGGTCTTCGGTTCGCTCTTCGGGCCGACGCGCCGCGGAAGAAAAAGCAGGGTCAAAGCGCATTCAGAGAATATAAAGCAGGACTCTTCTTCATGCCACACACGTACACGTATCCTCTTAACCTTCCAAACACCACACCTCTGAATCAAACAACAAGATCGAATGTCGACTACAGTCCAACCAACCAAGTCCGCGCGTAAACTTACGGTAACCGCATCGGCCGCAGAGTCTGACAGGGAAACCAGCCGCACGTTCGACGAGGACTGTGTCTATCTCCTTACTGCACTGGCGCTCGATGTGCCCGTGCCACCAATCCCTTCATCACCGCAGTTGCCACAGAACGACATCCACTTGAAGCAGCCGCAGACGCGTCCTCGTCCTTCTTAATCATGAGCTCCGACGACGAAGATGGTCATTCAGATGCTGCGCCTGACGAAAACGGCAAATCTGACTCGAGCTCGGAGTCGGAGGCGAAGTGGCCGAGCTCCGGTCCAGGGTCTGTCATGACGAGTGGGCGTAGCGCCGACAGAAGGGGAGAAGACGCCGACGATGAAAAAAGGATTGGTGATTCCCAGATTCAGGCAGTCCAAGCGCAGAAGGGAAGTGATTTGGACAAACTCGAGCAACTGGTGTCCTAGGTTAATCCCGAACATCTGAGATAAAGCTATGCCATCCATAAATGAACGGGAGTAAACTAGCAATTAGTATCGTCGGCGTCAATCTCCCAGATAGACGCGTACGTTGGTGGCTCGACTACTAAGACGCAAATAGGAAACAAAAACGAAATGCTTATAACTGTGGTCGTACATGCAAGTGCCATGAGTAAGATTGAAGGAGACGAACCAAGTGTGGTCAAACTTCAAGTTTACCGATCTAATCCATCTCCTCGTCGATATTCAATGCCTTCGCCCGCTCCAGATCTTCCCAGCTGGGAAGCCCATAGATTTTAAGCAACTCGTTCCAAAGTTTTCTCCTTGCCTGCCGATGACACTCTTCCGCCTGCTTCAGACAGGATTCGCACATAAGGTTCTCGAACGGCGTTCAGTCGCGATACCAGTTATGCACATTTGCAAGGTTTTGTACGCCGTATTCGTCACACCTTGAGACTGGTGCAGCCTCGACGAATGGGATGTGAGGGAAGGGAAGGATAGGGGGACAGGCCAGGCACTGTTTGGTGTAGCTGACTATGGTCGTTTCCTGGTCAACGGGGCTGAGGAGGGGCAACTGTGGCGAGTTGGAGGAAGTCGAAGGCGGTGAGGAGTACCCAGGAGGGCTTTGGAGGCGATGCGAATAGTGAGTAAGGAGTCGTCGAGCCCGTCTAAGGAGAAGGTTTCCGTCCCAGAGATCTCGTACAGTGTACACAGCGAGGGAAGTAGGGTGGCCGGTGTCAAGATGCTGCAGGGCACGGCGGAGAAGCTGCACATCGGACTTGTGGGAGAGGCGGAAGAGTGGTCTTTGTTGGTGGTGGCTCGAAGAAACTGGATTGGAGCCCTTTCAGATTCCCCGCGCCACAACAAAAGAAAGCGGACACACACCTTGAGTCGAATATGACCCTTAGAAACACCTCTACATCGGCAGCACTGTCATGCAGCTTGACCACAGGACATCCGTCGATGCGCTCCTCGTCGTCATCGGTCACCTCCGAGTCAAAGGCAAGCAGGTCCTTGAACACAGTTGACCTCGCCGCCAACACGCCCTGTGAGACTCAAAACACTCGGTCTTCGGCGCGTATGATCAAATTGTCTTCGAGAAACCATACATCTGCCACGCGTCGTTACGGTCGGCGTTGAGGAGGAAGAGGCAGCAGCAGCGATTTGCATTCATCTGTGGTGGTTGCGGACAACGGATGACCAATGTGACTGTCGTTTGACATGACATCGATGACTTCCCGCCCCGGGCCTGATAGACGACTTGGCCATTGCGCAGCTATGCTTGACTGCAGCCCACTCTAGCTGGATCGCCAATGCAAAAGAGAGTTTGTCAAGTACTCGCTCGAGTTGTTGGTAGGATGATCGTCGCTACACCTAGGGCCGCCCTGCCAAGGTGCCCACAGACGTGCTCGAGCTTGAAAATTGAACCGGACGAGGCCCGGGACCCGACTTGTGCCCGACATGACCGAGTAACCTATAGTTTCAAGAGGAACCGGTAAAATATTACTAGTTATCTTTCATGAGTACAATAGTTATCCTACTATCACATCAAGCAGCCCAAGAAACGGCTTAAGTATGAGGGGGCCTCGTGAGGCCACAACCAACTCGGTATACTTTCTATGCCTAGGCAAATTGACGATCGATTGAATTTTTCGACATGCCCGCATCATCGCATCTTCGGAATTCGGATCAGTATCATGTAACTCTCTTGCCTCCGCCCACCATCATGAACAGACAGCTACGACCCTTGCTCAGGCCATGCCGCGGGAACCATGCCATCAATACCGTGTCTCTGGCTCGCTGGCTGGTTGTGGGTCACGTCCCCAAGGTGGTGCGTGATTCAAATTCGAAGCTTGTCACGATACACGATGAATCCCCATTGACAGCCAACTCATCCCTGTCTGCCAGCAAGTACTTAGGCAACGCAGTCTGGACCGACTCTCAAATCCGCCTTCCGTCTTCTTTTCCTCGTCTCGGTCTCTGTACACTTCCCGACACCATCCAAATGCCGCTCCCGAATATAACTCTACTGTGCGATCTTCGGTGTTTGTAGCTTTATGAACCGTGCTAACGCTTGCGCGAAGCTTCGGCCCGATGCTTATAGGTGAGTAACCTTTGTTTGTCCCCGACCGCACCTTATATTCCAACAGGCGTCGTACTTAATGTGCTGCTGTATGGGGTGCGTCTTGGCACTGTTCTCGCGTCTCCTCCAATCTAACTGGTTCAATAGATCATGGTTACTCAGGTTCGCACCCTCGCTGCTTTTCAAGCTGGTACCCACTTTACCCAGATGTTCAAATACTACCACGAATACCCTCGGTAGGGCCTTATTCACCTTCTCAGTCTATTTCTTGACGGATGATGCATACAGAGACCCCAAATGGATACGCTATTTCGTGGGTCTCTGTTCGAACGCGGCTCATTTACAACACCTTATCGGACATTGACCAGATGCTCTACCTTTTCGTGTTGGCAACGGCAGTGGTGGTGACGCACCTGGCACGGGGGCGGTACCAGGAAAGTCACGGGGAGTGACTTCCGTGACGGGACGCGACGCGCGACGCGTCCAAAGACGCGTCAAGTCAGAGGAGTGAGGTGGAGGCAGTGAGCGGGTGCCGCAGTATCCGCAGTAGTGCCGCAGCGAGAGGGCAAGGCGACGGGCGATACGCGCAGTAATGCGCAGCAGCAACGGGCGAGGCGGTGTTGGCGACGAGCTGGGCGATGCAGGCAACGGGCGGGGCAGTGGCGGAGACGGAGGCGGTGGACCGGCAACGGTTGCCGGCTGCGGATTGATGCCAAGCCCGTCGGTGATCTATAAGTTTAGCGCATATGTCAGTAGATAGACAGTGAATCCGTTGTGATTGCACCCACTGGCTGATTATCAAAGGATAAGGCCTCCGCGAAACGACTACGAAACGGCCTGCTTACCAAAGGGTAGGGGCAACCACGAAACGGCCTGATTATCAAAGGATAAGGGCACCCACGACAACGATAACGATAACGATAACGACCTCGCCGATCCGGGGTAACTGTATTAAGAAGCGCCAAGACTTTCGATTGACACCGGACCCGATAACGCCGTCGGTCCGACTTTAATTCAGCACTACTGACTACACTCTCACGACCTTTGCCGCCGCGCGGATTGGACTACTACTATATCAACACTACTCTACAATTCTTGTACCGACTATTACCAGGTTGCAACTATCATATACCTTGATAGGAGCCCCCGAACTTGCGCGCGTCATCATACGGACTGAAGGACATTGTATTTGTTGGAACTAGCTATTGGTTTGGGTGTTTTGTGTTGTGTTGAGGGTTGTAGCTGAGTCTAGCCCTTCCTCCTTCCCCACCACCCATCACCTGTTCTCATCATCTCCCACCCCACCCTTCGGACGTATTTCGAGCGTTTCATCTGGAGCCCACCGCGAGGGGGTTCATCTGGAAATTATCAACAAGAAATTATATTGTGTTGAACACATATAACCACGACTACAAGACTATCGGCTGCGGATATCGCAAGACAATTGGAACGAGACAAGACACGTGACCGCGCAGAGCGTTGGACAAGATTACGTAACACACAAGACATATTTGGACATACACCACCAAGCACAACACAGACACTTGAGGTTGCTGAAGAAGATTCCTTTGAAATTGAAGAGCACATATTGACTGTGCTGCCCTCAATTGTTGAAGAACCAAACATAGAAGAAGAGCAGGACTTTGAACAAGGATCTGGAGACTATCACCACTGGGAACCATTGATTGGTAACAGGAACACAGCCACTCCTCCCTTAAACATATCAGCATCAACAAGCAACTCACAAGAGGTGGAGCAAAAGGAAAGAGTTGGAGCTTGGGTTGAATTATTGGCATCAGCACTTAGGCCAGACCCAGAGGAGATCCCTGAAGGAACACCAGAGGAGGAGCCAAAACAAGAAGAGCAAGAGCAGGACATTGGAGAACAAGACTTTGAGCAGGCTTTAGGTCTAGACTATCAGAACCAGGACAACTACCATAATTGGGACAACCAACTGCCATACACAGTACCCATACCTGGTTCACCAAGTTCAAGTTCATCCACATCCTCATCTACTGTTTCATCCAACAATAACAACCAAGTACCAATGGCTGCCAACCAGGCTAGTAATGGGACAAACTCAGCCCCATTCAAAATACCAAGACCATGGGAATCAGGAGTTCCTAGGTTCACGTCAGAGGACAAAAATGATTTGATGGATTTCTTTGATCAGGTTGATGATATCATTTTCCTGGGGAAAGTCAAACAGGACCAGGAGAAGAAGACATTGATGACCAGTTACCTTTCCAACAAAAGGAAGGAGGAATGGAGACTCTTGCCAGAGTACATTGATGTGACCAAGACCTATGAGGAGTTCAAGAATGCAATCAAGAAAGTCTATCCTGAAGTGGAAGAGGACAGAATGGGCACATTGAGGGATCTGGAGGAACTATGTGACGAATATTATGGCATCCGTCACACTCAAGAGGGAAAACTTACCCGATTTGGGTTGAAGTACAAGGCCTTGATTAAGAAGCTTCAGGACAACCCTGCTATTATTCTGAACAAGGAGGCTTGCACCAGATACCTGGACACCCTGGAGAGGAGTTTTGCCAAATCTCTGAAGACTGCCATGAATACCAGGAATATTCTCAAGGAAGAATTTGCACCAGCTGCAGGAGCAGTAGTGACTGCAGACAGGAAGGAGGATCCTATCAAGCTGGAGGACCTCATCAAGTTGGCAGAGAGATATGCCAAGACTAGTGGAGGGGATGCTACTTATGATGTCAGCCCACCTGATATCAAGAGATCAGAGAAATTCCCACGCGTCAAACTGGAGGAACGTGATGTCAGACTTGATGATCTGGAAGGACAGGTGTCTGGTCTGAGGGACATGGTTGATATTGGACAGAAGCAGACTCAGTCTTCAATTGAGGAGCTGGTCAAGGCTTTCCAAAATCAGAAGAATTATCCACCACGTGACCGTGACGATCAGGATCAGCGTGACAGGGCACAGAACTCCTATGGACAACAAGACAGGGGATACAACAGCAATAGAAGTTATGGAGGAGGCATGAATAGAGGTGGAATGGGTGGTGGCAACAGCAGTACAAGTTGCTATTACTGTGGAGATACAGACCACTTTGCAAGAGATTGCCCAAGGAAGCATCAACATCTGATGAAGGGTTGGATTGTGGTGGAAGATGGCAGACAGAGATTGTCTGATGGCAACATCATTCCAGCAGGACCAACACCAGCAGCACTCAGAGTTGAGGAGTATTGGCAGAGGAAGGGAGCTGCAGGACAACACTATTATGGTGATGGGCCATCAGGCATCAATGATGATGAGTTTGATCTGCTCAGGGATGAGGTTAGGACCATCCATGTCAAGCTCAGTCAGCTTGCAGATAATGGAGGACCCACTTCAAATAATGGGAGATATGCAGCTCAACCTACCTATATGGCACAGAATGCACCAGCACCAGTGGTTTCTCAGCAACCACCAGCACAGACTATGGATATGGAGGCACTTGGGAGAATGGTCTTCAACATGATGAATGCACAGAATGGAGCTTCTGAGCAATTTGCACAGCAGAAGAAGGCCAAGGGCAGCAGTTCACAAGGATCGGGTTTTTAGAGACCTCGATGAAGGAGGGCCAGCATCATAGGCCACCTGAGAGGGACGATATTGATGAATTAGAGGAAGATGAAGACCCAGAACCACCAAGGCCAAGAGTCAAGAAGGCTAGAGTTAGCAAGGAGATGAGGGAACTGCCTTACAAGTTTGTCCAAGTTGGAGGTGGGGCTCGAACTCAGCCACCCAAACCAAGACAACCTGTGCAGGAGGACGAATACGACAACCGCGCTGGGCCGCTTCAAGTTGAAGGCACCCATTCAGAGGGAAGGCCTAACAGAGGAGATATTGGGCAGGATCAATGACACAGAGGTCACCATCAAACTTGGTGATTTGTTTGGGCTTAGCAAGGACTTACGCGAGCGTGAGAAAATTCGTCTCACCAGAGTCAGAGAACCAGTAGATGCAGAGGGCATGCCTGGGAGGTCCTTTGCTTCAAACACAGCACAGTTAGTGCCAGAAGAGGAAGAACTCAAGCTGGACAGTGATGCAGTGGAAATGGGAGATTTGCCAGGAGTAGCAGGAGTTTTTATTGTCAACACTGATGTGGATGGCATACCAGCTGGATCTATGGTGGCACAGGACCCTTATCTTCAATATCTTGAAGGATTGGAGGAGGATGAATCACCAAGACAGATCTATGTTGCCAGAGACTCAGAACCACTCAAGGTCACCTACCCACATATCCATGCAAATGGGCCAATTGAATGTGTTTTGGACTCTGGATCACAAATTGTCTCAATGTCATTGGAGACAGCTCAACTATGTGGTCTAATGTGGGACCCCTCAATCAACATATACATGCAGTCAGCAAATGGACAACTGGAGAAATCTATGGGATTGGCAAGGAATGTGATGTTTAGATGGGGAGAACTCAAGCTTTTCCTTCAAGTTCATGTCATAAAAGGACCAGCCTACAAAGTTCTACTGGGCAGACCTTTTGATGTCTTGACCAGGAGTAGGATGGAACATGAGGGAGAACATCAAATCTTGACTGTGACAGACCCCAACACTGGCAGAAATTGGACAGTACCCACTTTTGACAGGACCAAGAATGGACCTGCAGCACACAGGGTCAAGGAGCCTAAACCATCAGATTCTATAGAGGCCAACCTAGGGGATTTTCAACAGCCTTCGATGAATTGGCAAGCATGTGCCAAGGAGAAGAAGCCATGGTCATAATTGGCTTCAATGAAAAGGGAGAAGCAACGATCGATCAGTTATACAGACCTAATGGCGGCAAAATGGATTCAAAGAAAATAGTGGAGTCTTATCTGGCAGCATCCAAGTCAACTGCAAATTGTTTCAAGGAAGATGCAGAGGCAGCAGAATTGTTTGAGAACTATCAACAGCAGAAAGTGGAACATGTGGAGGGAGTTCCATATAAAGTCTTTGCCAATGTGGTTGCTGAACCAGTTGCCAAGTCTGGGAAGAGCTCAAATCAGACGAAAGATGGGGAAACTATGCACACAACCCATAGGATGGATGGTGTTGAGAGGTGCTTCTGCTGTCAATCAATTGATTTCATCAAACCGATTGATGATGTATCAAACCATCAAGAACAGGATGGTGTGGCCTCTGTATTTGCTGGAAAGAAGTACAAGCCAGTAGGACTCAAAGTCAGGCCTGTTTACACAGAGCTGCCAGACAGATATAGGATCAAGAGGGAGATCAAGGGTGATCCATTGGCTGGTATGCCACCTTTGAATCCAAAGCCACAAGGATATAGGGAGGGCAAGAGATACACCAAGGAGAGAGCAGAGGATATGGAGAAGAGGCATGCTGATTTCCTTCAACCTGAGGAGCTCAAGATGATGCATGAACTGGTTGGGAATCATGAAGAGGCCTTTGCTTGGACAGATGATGAGAGAGGCAGCT